AAAAAAAAGAAAAAAAAGTAATATGTAATAAATAGTGTTGTGTATATACAGTTGAGTTATTGCACATAGAATTGGTATTGCACAGTGGTGGTCCATAGAGGAAGTGGGAAGAAAAAAATTGGGGGGGGGGAGCTGCTCTGCTGAGGCAGCGGGAGGAATAAATGTCCATCAGGGAGGGGAGAGGGCAGCCGAACTCTGAAGCCTTCGTATAGCTGTTAATTATAAGTAATGACGCTCATTCCAAAGGTCAATAAACTTTTCAGCCCAATTAATACAAATGTCAGAAAAAATACCGATTCCAACCTGTGACAAGAAAACATTAAGTTTGTGTTTTCTTGCTTATAAACTTTGCGACTTCTTGCCAGCACGGAGATGCTTTGTAGAGTTGTTAAACTAAAGTACGCCAGATTTTAATGCCTGAGTTTTAATGGACTTAAAGCTTTTAATGCTGCTTTAATGCTAAATTGCTTTTAAAGTCAAAATTAGATTCTGAATAAACTGGTAACAGAAAAGCTTTTGTCCGTTTTTCTTTTGTTATTCTTAAAGAATTTATGCAGGATAGATGGATCGATCCTCTGCAGCAGCAGCATAAAGAATACAAATAAACTGGTATTACTCAGGCTCAGTTCTCTATACATGACTGTCCCTATTAACTGTTACTGGACGCATCTATCTCAAAGGTCTCCCAACATTTCTAGTCCTGGGCCAATAAATAAAACCATGGCTCAGTGAGCGAAACCCTTGTGGGATTGCTAATACGCTCCGAAATGAGCTCCTCTATTGAGTGGAGGAGACCTGCGGGGACTCCTGGGGATGATGGGTAGAAATAGAGAGGGGTGGGTTAGTGAGCAGAGAGTAACCACAATGTGATTACAGACTTCAGTTGTGCAGCTTGATTTCATACCTTAATGAATATTGTCAGGAGGATTTCAGACCTCCCAGTGCAAAAGCTCTTTGAACATCCTTAAATAGGTTGGACAGCAGCAGGCAGCTTTGTTTTACGCTGCTTCCACACGTACTGTATACAGTAGCAGCTATTGGACAAGCCCTCTGTGGAAATTGCACTTCATGCATTTATGCAGCTTCTGTCCTGCGTCGTTGCCATTAGGTGTATAATTTGTAATTCGTGCATTAATCCAGAGTCTACAGTATGTTAATGCTGCAAGTATGTTCACAGCTGCTAATGTCTTTACCCTGCATGCATCCAGGTTTAATAATGTGCACTATAGAGCCGAATTCTCTCGAGTGTCTCAGCCATTTCTTTTAACCGCCAACTTGCTTTAATGACAGAAGCCCCCTTTGTTTTTTCCCCAGCACACAGTTTTGTTTTGGAGAACAAAAGAGCGCCAGTGGAAAGTGGGACGCTGAATTATTGTGACTTTAAATGAGTGAATGCCTGCATTAAAGCTATTAAGGTGGATTTAGGCTGACTGAAGTCTCATACCAGCACTTGTTTAATGAGGAAAAAAATAGAAGGAAGGGTTGAGGGAAGAAGCAGAGGAGGGTGGGAGCTGACAGAAGTAATGAGCGTGTGAGGTGTCTGGAAGGTGCCAGAGACATTTCTTGGCAGGAAGTCGAGACCACCCAGGACTCAGTGTGTCGCAGCAGGCCTCCCTGGGGGGATTTTTTTCCCCACCTCCAGTCAGTTACTGAAAGCTTCATCCGCATGCATTCAAAGTTTTGGTGTAAATAATCGTGAGGAGCCTTGTGCTGACGCTATCGTACAACGCCTGCCCCACATTTCTTCATCCTCTTTTTTTCTTATAATTGCACTGTGAGGCTCAGTCACACTTGTAATGTTCACTTGTTTGGAAACGTACGCCAAGACCGAAAAACAGACACATCTGTCTTGTTCAGGTGCAGAGTACACAAAACCTGATTTCTTTCTCCCCACGGGTTTTTAACACTGTTTGGCTCTCCCTTTAAATTCCTCCTTTATTGCATTGTTTTGAACCTAAACGGGCTCTTCATCAAGTACAACAAAACTGTGGAATAAAGCAAGAATTTTAAGAGGAGCCGATAACAGGGTTACAAGTCCCCGCGGAGATAAAATCATAACGACATACTGCACTTCTGCTGATGCAATTACAGGAGGTCTCATTCCAAAGCATCAAAACACCATTAGCCTCTAAAGTCACATTTAAAGTTAGAGTCTGGATAAGTTTAAGAGTTAATCCCAAATTGTTAAAACATTTTTAAAAAGTTCAGTGTGTTGCTTTACACCTTTTATTGTGCAGAAAGGTACAATAGCCTTTTGGGCTATTTCCAGATAATGTAGCACCTACTAGAAAAGCTCCTGGTTCAATCCGAGCACCATCGAGGAGAAGGTGTCTCTTCACTTCAGCTAGGACAGAGCTCAGCAACCTTTAAGACCCAAAGAGCCATTTGGACCCAGTTTCCACGCAAAAGATAACACTGTATATATAGTTTCTTTTTACCTTTATGCTTTGTGTGAACAACTAAGGTGTGTTGCTTATG